CCGAGTGAAGACAGGCGGCAAGAACTTAATCGATCGCCGGCCGAACGTGATGGCGAGAACTTAATCAATCGCCACCAGCCAAACACAATGGCAAGAATTTAATCGATCGCCACTGAAACGTGATAGCAAGAATTTAATCAATTGCCATCAGCCAAGTAATGACAAGAATTTAATCAATTGTCACTACGATTCAATGGCAAGAATTTAATCAATTGCCATTAAATTGAAAGCCTAACTAAAATTGCGTAATTAAAATTGGCATAATTGAAATTGAAAGAAAGTAAATGGCTGAATTGAAATAGTTGACAATGATCTAATCAATTGCCATTAAATTGAAATAAAGAAATTGATAGGAAAAAAATGACGTAGAGTCAATTGAAAACATTTTTAGTTGAAATGCATGTTTTGTGGTGGTGCTGGACAAATTGGAATAGGAATACAATACTTCTATTTATAGAAGTTCTATCTCAACTTATTTTCCTAAGTTATTGCTAGAAAATCTCTCCTTCTTTGATTCTTTTCTTCAAAATTTGAACTCAGTCAAATCCTATTGTTATTCTGCTTCCTTTCTTGTTTTGTTTCAGTAGGAAATCTCTGTAAAAACAACCTTCCTCGATTTAATCACATGTAAGTTGCCGAGATATTGCTAAAACGTTGCTAGAAAGTTGCTGAAAAATTGCTAAGTTGTAGCAACTTCCTTTTATAAACTTGGCAGCCGTGTTCTATCCCAAGTGGCCCATCCTTTAGCGCCATGTCAAGGCCACTTGTCACAATTAGATTTGTTCACTTCATGCTGCCAACCTTCTATACATGTCTTCAAAGCTTTCCTTCTTTCATCAAACTAAACTTCCTATTTTATAGGAATTTAGTTATTGAGTTTCATCCAAACTCTAGCCTTTTCCTTTTCTGTTAACAGCCCATTTTGAAAAAAGTCAAATGTGAGTCGCTATATTTCAGCAACTGCCATATCATTAGGTGGCTGAAATATATCTTTCTATATTTGCTCCTAATATCTTCAAACTGGCCGATTCATTCTTGGACATGCTCAACCCTTATCGGCTTCCCATTGGTCCACGTCGCTGCTGAAGTGGCTGCCAAGTTTTGGTGCCAACAAATGCCCCCTGAATTTCAAAGGCTTTTATCACTTATGATACGAAGCGTTTGGAATTTGAATCGGCCTAAAATTGTAATTCAAATTTTAGTAATAAATCCTTTTCCCAACCACCTGCTTTAATGGTTATCTTTCCCAATTAAAGCGGCGACTACACTAATCCGCTATTACATCCAACAAGTATTTAGCTTGATACCCTCTAATCCCTAAAATCATTCTTCTTTCCTTAAACTTTCTATCTCTGAAATTCTTTCTCGGCGAAATCGTTCCTGACGTCCTCTATGGCTCCTAAGAAAACTAAATCAACTGATTCCACCTCTATCCCTCAACCTACCGATCCTTCAACTCATGGCAACATCATAGAAAAATCCCTAAAAACTCTATCTCCTTACAAATACTGTCTCAATACCCTTATCGATCTTCGTACTGACTTCAAAGGCTTAGGTCTTGCTTTCCTTGATGAAGCTCCTTTATCAATCTCACCTTTCTATCCTTCGGCCGACGTTCTTCCATTCCTTCAAACCTTCCCTCCTAATGAAAATGGCAGTTTGCCACACTTTCATTTTAGAATATGGCATAGCCCAAATGATGCTTGGATCAATTGGGTTGACCGAGTTGGAGCTGTGAAGGGAGAAATATGGAAGGATTATGGCATATATGATGCCATTCATCTAAGTAAAACTAACATCGCCCAAGACAGAGCCTTGATGATAGCAGCCATGTTTAATTGGTCGACCACCACCAACTCCTTACACTTGAAATGTGGCATGATGGCTCCAACCATTCAAGACGTGTGCTATCTAACCAGCCTCAAACCCTTTGGGATTGATGTAAGTACCTTATTGGTAGAAAATGATTCTCCTTTCATCTTCCCTTCAAAGCAAACTGGAACCAAATCATCTGAATCCTCTTATGGCAAATACTTAACTTCCACCATGGATCCTCGTGTCCCTGTGAATGATGCTGAACATATTGCCTTCTTGTTGGCGTGGCTGAACAAGTTTCTTCTATGCGTACCGGCCTTTCAAGTCACAAAGGATTACATTCATATGGTCGTTGCCCTTTCAAGAGGTAAACACCTTGCTCTTGCCCCCTTGGTGCTTTCTCATTTATATAGAGGGATTTATGACTTGCTTACCTCCAACTTCAGACGCTATGGTGGTCCCCTCTGGTTATTTCAAATTTGGCTTCAAGTGTACTTTCCTGAACTCGGACCTGTGGTAAAGCCTTCGGCCAATGACCCATTACTTTCTGTAAGTTACGCATCAGCCGTACCTAAATCCCATTCGTTTGGAGATTGCTTCAATTTCTTTTACTCCGGTTGTGAACAGAGGACTATCAGCCAATTCCTTCCATTTTCTCATTGCTCACAAGCACCTCGATGGCTGACTCCTTCTCAAGGAGTGTCTACTAAAAAATCAACTGATAAGCATTCGGCCATGTGGGCTAGTTTCTTACTTCCAAGAGACCTTCACTTCAACACTGGCCCTCTAGGCACAGTAAACTCAAAAGTTGGAGTTGAGTTCTACAATCCAAACCAACTTGCTAGGCAATTTGGTCTGACTCAAATGATCCCCATGCCCCCTTATTTCTCTTTCAACAAAAACTTCCATAGGCGTGTGGTATTTCCAGATGACTCCTATGTAAAGAACGTGTCCTCCCGGTTCTCAAATCTGCAAGCCGGATTCCAATTCCAACCCTTCATCAAAAACCCAGCCTCAGATTCTAGTTTTGATCAATGGTGGTCTTCTTACATTACTTCTATAAGGACGGCTGATGGCCAGTCCCTTGTTGTTAAAATATTGGAATCTTTCAAGTTCGTATATGTGGCCTTTGAAGGGGCATTCGTAATTTCCCGGGCCGTTACCCCAAAGAAGATGCCTCAAAAAGATCCTCCCAAAGATAAAAAACAAACGGCCAAGAAACTCCCTTTCTCTCAGCCAACAGATGCTCCAACAAGGACCAATAAAGAGAGAAAAGCTAAGGCCAAAGCCACTATCAGCCTCCTCAAGGGTACGATCTTCCTTTATATATATATATATATATATATATATATATATATATATATATATATATAAAAACTTTTAATTGAAATTCTCTTACCCCCCCCTTTTTTTTTTTTCGCAGATTCAGACAGTGGAACTTTATCAGCCTCGCTTAATCCAGAAGACGTTGAGCCCCAAGATGATGAGATTTCCTCCAGCCAACCTCCTCAGCCTTCAATAACTGAATCAGCCATCATCCCTGATGTTCCTCCAATTCCTCCAAAGGTAAAAGTTTTTTTTTTTATCTATTAACATACAAAGACAATCATATCGGCTCAATTGTTAAAATACTTTGCCAATATTGATTTCTAATTCTCGGCCACAACTATTATTGGCCGAAACAAACTTTAATAAAGCTTCCATCTCCAGGGGAAAAGAAAGAAATCAACTGCTCATGGCACTTTAAAAAGAACAAGATTGAGCAAACGTAAGAAACAGGAAGTGGAAGAAAATCTAGATAGCCTTCATCCTACAGAAGACGTGGCCGATGATCCCGTAATTAATGTGACTGACACTCCTTCTGATCATTCCTCAGATGAAAAAGAGGTAAAGATAACTGTACTTGAAATTTCCAAACTTTTTAATTAATATGGTCCTTAATTTCTTCTCTTTTGCAGCAATCTCCTCTTCTTGACTTGGTCTATAGCCCAGTTAGAAATTTCAGCCCTCTGAAGGATTTTCATGATCCCATTGAGGTGCCCTTCAATGTTCAAGTCACTCCTGCTAAAACTTCATCCCAGGGAGATAGCACAACGGTTCAGCCAGAATTTCCTCCTCCAGAAACCAGTCATCAGCCACTCTTAGTGACAGACATAGCCGAATCATCTAAGGTATTGACTATCTCATGTCCTAAAAAAAAAAAAAACTTAAGATCTAATCTTTCCTCATTTTGTCAGGTTGTGTATGAGAAAACTCAAATTATTCCTTTATTTCCTCCACAAAAAGTTCCTGCTTCATCCCTATTGGCTTTGAGCAATTTTTTTAAGGATGTGGTGGCTTCAGTGACCGAAGAGAAAGAAAGTGAATCTTTTGGAGCCACCCCAGTCACTTCAACCAATATCCCTATACAATCCTTAGAAGAGACCAAAAAATCTTTACTTGAGATCTTGAAAAGGGATGTTGCTGATCTTCCTAATTTTGAAAGTGAACTCACAGCAGTGCTTTCTACACTCAGCCAGTACCCAGACTTTCCGGTTGATCTTCAAGCCACTATTGCTACCTTTAAAGGCCAGCTACCAACTCTGACCGATGATATTTTCCAAGCCAATGAAACAATCAACCAATTCAATAAGAGTAAAAACAGGAAGGATACCCTTGCTAACCAATTGTTAATTCAAGCTTCCTCCTTTGAAAGAGTGAATACAGAGTTCATCGGCCTTGAGGAAAGAGAACATGTCCTTCAGAAAGAGATCGACCAGATCCATGCTCGTAAGGCCATCTTGTCTGCTGAAGCTGCTACATTGCAGTTTGAAGCTCAAGACCTTGCTCACGAGTATGCAAATCTTCGTGGAGAATTACCTCAATTGGAAGAGTCAAAGAGGCAGGCCATGGTGGCCTTCAATTGGTCCTCAGTTATTTGGGCCGATTTCAAGGAAAAATTTGCAAACATATGAATTTTTTTTTATTTTTTATATTAGCTTCCTTTTGTGGCCATCTTAGTGTATGATCTTTAAATGATGTAATCTTTTACACTTCAATGAATAAATGGCCTTTTTTGTTACTCCAAACAAACATCAACATTCTAGCGAGAAAGAATTTATTAAAATAACCAAATCAGCCTAGAAAAATAGGCCGATTTTTATTACATAAAGGTACACATGGTCAGCCATAAGTACTGGCTAACACTAATTTTCCCTTTCAAAGATTGCCGGTACGTACCTCTTGAGGTACTTGCCATTAATGGGATAGTCATGTAATTGGCCACTGAAATATTTCAGCCTATATGCTCCTCCACTTAAGACTTGATGGACTAAGTATGGCCCTTCCCATTTTTGGGACCACTTCCCATATTTCCTATCGACTTTACCCACTGGCAAAACAACTTTCCAAACCAAATCTTCTTCAGCAAAAGACTTAGGTTTTACCCTCTTGTTGTAGATCCTCATCACTTTCTTCTTGTGAGCTATGATATGATCCAAGGCATCCCTTCTAAATTCATCCAAATCTTCCAATTCTACCAACATTGCTTGAGTATAATCAGCTGGAGTTAGATTATTTTGAAAAGCAACTCTGGCTGATTTAACCTTCATCTCCATAGGCAGAACAGCATCATGACCATAAGTTAACATGTATGGTGTAACTCCTGTGCCTGTTCTTTTTGAGTTCCTATAGGCCCATAAAGCTTCAGACAAAGTCTCATGCCACCTTCTTGGCTTATCTTTGATCATTTTTTCAATGATCTCAATTAGAATCTTATTTGAAGATTCGGCTTGGCCATTTGCTTGAGCATAGTATGGCGTAGAGGCTGACATATGAATATTCATGTTGTGGCCGAATTGTAGTACATCAGTTGCTCTAAATACTGTTGCATTGTCTGAAATAAGTGTTTCTGGAATCCCAAATCTGTGGATGATGTTTTGCTCCATGAAATTAATCACTGTTTGCTGATCAACCGCTTTGCAAGCCTTGGCCTCAACCCATTTAGTAAAATAATCTGTGGCAACAATCACCCAGTGATGGCCTTCGCTTGATGGTGGATTAATTTTACCAATAAGGTCAAGGCCCCAACCTCTGAATGGCCAAAGTTTGATTATTGGCTGTAATTCTTTTGCTGGTACATTCTGAATCGGCCCGTGTCTTTGACAAGCTTGACAACCTTTTGAGTAATCTATGCAATCTTTCCTCATTCTCGGCCAATAATATCCATACCTGCGAATCAGCCATCTCATTTTAATCCCAGCTTGGTGAGCCCCACAGCTGCCCTCATGTACCTCGGCCATTACCTGAAGTGATTCCTCCTTGCTTATGCATTGTAGTAAGAGCCCATCTTCTAACCCTTTTCTGTATAGATCCCCATCTAGAAGCACAAAGTTGATCGCTTTTCTTTTAATACTTCTATCAGCCTTGATGTTTGGATTTCGAAGGAACATTATAAATGGTATCCTCCAGTCATCGTCGGCCAAATCTTCTACATCAATTGTCCAAGTATCAAACATAGTATTTCTCAATTCGGCCGATGGCAAAGATCTTCGTGTTATCTTTATCAACTGATCTTCTATTCCGGCTGGTACTCTTATTCCAGAGGCTGCTTGAGCCATGCTGTTAGCCTCCTTATTCTGCCCTCTCGGCCAGAACTTAAGTTGAACATTATCAAATTGATTAATTAATGAAGTGGCCAGAGAATGAAACGGCCTTAATTGCCAACTTAGGCACTTAAAATCTTCAGAAATTTGGCTAAGGACTAAGTTTGAATCTCCCAAAATCTTTACATCTCTAACAGCCATTTCAATTAAAATCTCCAGGCCGATTATAAGCGCTTCATATTCGGCCTGGTTATTTGAACATTTAAAATCTAAAAAGAAAGAGAATGAAGCCTTTCTGCCAGCTGGCGAAATAATAACAATACCTGCTCCTGCTCCATCAGCCGTGCTTGATCCATCAAACATCAAGATCCAAGGAGTTAAGAATATAGCTGATGACTCCAATTCATCATAAACCCATGGATCAATATCAGTTGAAGGATGATCGGCCAAAAAATCAGCCAGAACCCTTCCTTTTACTGATTTTTGTGGGACGTAAATAAAATTGAATTCCATCAAAGCCAAAGCCCACTTACCTATTCGGCCAGTGATCAATGGCCTTGATAACATATACTTGATCACGTTAGTCTGACAAAGAATGTAAACATCAACAGGCCGCATGTATACTCTCAGCTTCATGGCCTAATAGTACAAAGATAAACAAAGCTTCTCAATTGAGGAATATCTGCATTCTACATCAGTTAGTACTCTACTCAGGTAGTAGACAGCCTGCTCCTTTCCATGTTCATTGTCTTGCGCGAGCATACTACCAATTGATTCTTCTGCGGCCGATAAATAAAGCTTTAACGGCCACTTCTTTCTTGGAGGCATTACAACCGGGGGGTTTTCCAAATACTCTTTTATTTTGTCAAAGGCCTTCTGATGGGATTCGTCCCAATGAAATTTCTCATGTGACTTTAATTTCACTAAAGTCGAAAAGACATGCACTCGGCCAGCATGGTTAGAAATAAATCTTCTAAGAAAACCTACCTGGCCGAGGAACCTTTGCACTTGTTTTTTGTTAGCTGGGGCCCTAGCATTTATAATAGCTTTGACCTTGTTCTGATCAACTTCAATACCTCGTTTATGTACCAAGAACCCCAAGAAATTCCCGGCTGAAACTCCAAATGCACACTTCAATGGGTTCATTTTCAATTTGTGAATCCTCATCCTTTCAAAGGCCCTTTTCAAGTGTTCCAAATGCTGTCTCTTGGCCGATGATTTCACAACCACATCATTTATATAAATTTCCATGAATCGGCCAATCATATCATGAAAGATAGAATTCATTGCCCTTTGATAAGTAGCCCCGGCATTTTTTAGGCCAAATGGCATCACAATCCACTCAAAAGTACCAATTGACCCAGGACATCTAAAAGCCATTTTCTGAACATCTTCCTCGGCTAAATAGATTTGATTATAACCTGAATGGCCGTCCATAAAAGACAATATTTCATGCTTAGCGGCCGAATCAATAAGTTGGTCGGCCATAGGCATTGGATACTCATCTTTTGGAGTGGCATTATTTAAATTGCGAAAATCCACACAAACTCTAAGTTTGCCATTCTTCTTCATTACAGGAACAACATTAGACAACCATTCAACATACCTAACTGTTCGAATAAATCCTGCCTTAAGAAGTCTTTCAATTTCTTCTTTAATTTTAAGCATTACTTCCGAAGACATCCTTCTTGGTGGTTGTTTATATGGCTGAAAATCTTTCTTGATCGGTAATCTATGTTCTACCAATTTTCTAGACAGGCCAGGCATCTCTTCATAACTCCAAGCAAAGCAATCCTTATATTCATTTAATAATTTAATCAAATCGGCCTGGAATTTAGGCTCAAGCAAAGCACTAACAAATAATGGCCGATTATCTTTTTTAGTACCAACATTTATTTCCAATAAAGGATCTTGCACATCTGCTTTATTATCTTCCATCCTGGAAGGGGTTGACTCCAAATCTTCAAGTTGGATTGCATTCAGCTTTTCGAAACCTTCTTCAATTATATCGGCCGTGCTTGCCGATACCTCTTCATATAGTTGTTCTTCTCTGGCCAGTCTCTTCTCAGCCAGATATGCTTTCAGTCTGATGCAAGCGGCCCTGAAAGCTTGCCGCTTCTTTTCTTCATTGGTTTTGTGATCCATCAGTAACATCTTCAATGTCCTTGATGGTCGACCTGAAAATATCAATTTTCGGCCGAGCTGCTTCTGACAATAATTCTTTAATATCAGCATTAATTAAATTCTTCTTCATTGATGCCGCTACTGGTCGTCCCATCCTGTTAATGCCAACAAATTTGATAGGTACAACAGTTTCATCATAAAGTGCAGCCTCAGCCGAATACACCCTAGCTATAAAGGGTTTGTTATCGGCCTCAACAATTTTTACCTCATTTCCATCCCAAAAAATCAACATTTGATGCAAGGTTGATGGGATGCACATGTTAGGATGAATCCAATCTCGGCCTAAAAGGAGATTATAGGCCGCGGTTGAATCAATGATAAAGAAAGCCGTAAAGGATGTCTTACCGCCAATAGTAATTTCCAAAGGTAGAATACCTTTGGTGTTACTAGATCCTCCATTAAAACCACTGATGGCCACGTCGGTTGGAACTACATCATCCATGGTTTTACCCAATTTCTTCAAAGTAGTTGATGGAATGACATTCACCACCGAACCATTGTCAACCAAAACCTTATTGATTGGCTGACCCTCAACCCATACTTTAACATATAACGGCCTCAACTACTGTGTCATGGACAAAGGTGGTTTTTCAAAAATGATTTTATCGGCCTTAGATGGCTGATCCTGAGAGATCAATCCTATCCCGGCCGATGAACTTGTCGAATCGTTCTTAATTTCTGAAGATTCAGCCTTTTCCTCCTGCTTGGCTGACTCAACATCCTTGTTCACCGTTGGTTCTATCCTTGCTTCAAACACAGAAGGCAAAACAAATACCATGTTACAATTTACCTTATCCGGGAGAGAACCAAAACGAATTCTGTACTTGGCCGCATGCTTTGGATCCTGGTCGGGCTGATCATCTTTTTCTTCATAAAAGCATGCCTTATTCTCAAATGATGTAGCGACCTCCATGTCTTCAGCCACCACTGGTTCATTTTTTCTTTCTAGTTGATCATGGTCGATCTTGTCTTCTTTCCTTTTGAGTTCTGCATTTTTCCTTTGCATCCTCCTTTTTTGGGTACGTGTAGGAGGCTGCTTAGGAAACTTTGGGTAACTTACTCGAGTCCATCTGCCATGGTCAACCAAAGGAGGTCTAACCGTTCTTACACGACTAGATTCTTCTCCTTTTTGAACCCATATTTCTGACTGAATTGTTGGTTTCCTTTTGAAACTGGGATAAAAATGTTGCTCTGGCAGGACTCTATCGGCCACCGATGACCGAATGATTCTCACTGCCCTCGGCCCATTTTCTCTAAATATTGATCGATTGATTTCTTCGTGATTCTGTCTAGGCTGATGGCCTAACCTTTCATGGACACTGCGCTTTCTGGTTGAATGGAAATAGCCCCTCTTGTCTGAGTTATTCCTTCGGCCTTTGCAATTTGGACAACAACCATGGTTGATGAGGGCAATCTGAGCTTCTCTTAACTGAATTTCCAAGTCCTTAACTTTCTGCTCATCATTACTGGCCGATGAACTACCAAGAACTTTTGGTAATCTTTCCTGTCTACCATTATCAGCGGCTTTTTCAGTTGCCAAGCTGATTACATTGGTACTGACAATATTAAGAAATGGATCGCCATCGACCCCCATTACATCTGGCTTCTTTTCAGGGAATTTCAATACACCTTCATCGATAGATTTCTGCAATACATTTCTAAATACATAACAATTGTTAGTAGTATGATTCCATGAATTATGAAATTTGCAGAACTCTCTTCCTTTTAAATCATTGGTCGATGGTATATTGTGTCCTTTTGGCAAAACGATTTGTTTGTCGGCCAACAAATGATCAAAAATTTGTTCTGTTTTGGCCAGATCAAACGTATAAACCTTACCAGTATCAGCCGTACCCTTCCTGGCCGATGTAGTCGATGGCTGAGTACCACTGGTGGATACATTTGGTTTTGTTAAAGCGTCACATACATAAGGTTTCTTTAGAATGACTTCGGCTAAATTAGCTTCAAAATCTTCCTCTTCAACCATATCAGTTGAATAAACTTCATAGTTGGGGTCCCTATAGTACGTACCTTTAGAGGAATTTTTTCGTTCTTTCTCCTCTTTGAGAACCAACTCATACCTGGTAGCTTTCTCGGCCAGGTCATACATGTCACAAAATGGAACTCCTTCAAACCTCTTCCGAAGTTCAAAATCAAGGCCGTTCAAAGCCAAACGAATGTACTCCTGTTCTGGAAGAGGTACACGACATCTTAATCTTGCTCTCCTGAATCTTGCAATGAATGTCTCGACCGATTCACTAGGCAATTGACTTAGCCTGGATAAATCGGCCAGAGTAGGTTCTGTCTCCGTACGGTAGAACTGATTGTGGAATAATTCCTCCATCTGTGGCCAATTAAAAACAGAGTTAGGAGGTAGACGAATATACCATGAAAAAGCTGCCCCTGTCAAAGAGTTAGGAAAAAGTCTCAATTTCAACCACGGGCTAACACTGGCCTCTCCACATTGAACCGTGAATCGGCCAATGTGTTCCACGGTCGATTGATTCCCCTCTCCACTAAAGGTTACAAAGTCAGGGACTTTATATCCTCTAGGGAACTCAACTTGGTCTACCACTTCTGGATAAGGAGTTCTATAAATTGGTCGGCCGGCACCTCTAAGTTCCAGGCCATATTCTTCTGTGAGTAAATCAGCTAATTGTCTTCTATCTAACATGACTTGAGGTGGCTGATTTAATATTGGTGGTACCTGATTAAAAACTGGCGGCTGATTAGCCGCTGGTTGATAGCAATTCGGCCAATCATGTGGCTGATTAGCCATATTCTGCCCCCCGAGCCCTACCTGTGGCGGCACATGAGTATACAGTGGGTTCGGTGGCCTCCACCTGATCTGATTGCCCCCCGAGTTCAAAGGCATCCGAGGAGGGTTTGGTAGAATTACTTGTGGCTGCGAACCTACTACTGGTGGCTGATTAGAACCTGCCAACGTAGGCTGAGGATAGCTTTCTGCCCAGATGAGTAGCGTATGAACCGGCTGACTTGATGTTGCAACTGGTTGGAGTGTCACTACTGGCGGCCATGGCTGTGATGTTTCAATTGCCCTCTCTGGCCGAGCAGCTTGTGATAGATTCGGCTGAGAAGCCGATTCCTGATTGTTGGAGTTGCTAGCTTGAGTCAGCTTGTTCAAAATAAAAGCTGAGAGTTGGGACATATTTTCATGCAAGTCGTTGTAGCGTGCTCCCATCCTTCCCATTGCATCTACCAAGGAGCTAACCTGTGCTTGAAGTACGACTAACTCATCAGTAGGACCTGCTGCAGAGTTCTCAGCCTGTACTGGCTGATCGCCTTCCTCCAAATCTTCATCAGTAGCCACGGCCTTAGAATTTTTTGTGGGCCGCGGCATATTTGCGTCTTTTATAACACTCTAGTAGCGGTCCCACCGGGCGTGCCAAAACGTGTTCGTACGGTTTTTGTTCCCTACGCCGGTCGATGGACTCTTCGCGGGCGTGCCAGAGTATTTGTACAAAATACCCAAAATATGTAATTGAACACCAGCCTATCCCTTTTTCCGATGGCTAACCCTCAGGCGATTGTGTGGGAGAGAGACTAGTAAGAACTCCCAGCAAGGTTCTTTTATGCCCTGTTTGTAGCAAGGACTTTTTGGAGTGTCTAAAGAAATACAACGGCTGAAGAATGTTTGAATGGATGGAATGGCCGAGTGAAGACAGGCTGCAAGAACTTAATCGATCGCCGGCCGAACGTGATGGCGAGAACTTAATCAATCGCCACCAGCCAAACACAATGGCAAGAATTTAATCGATCGCCACTGAAACGTGATAGCAAGAATTTAATCAATTGCCATCAGCCAAGTAATGACAAGAATTTAATCAATTGTCACTACGATTCAATGGCAAGAATTTAATCAATTGCCATTGAATTGAAAGCCTAACTAAAATTGCGTAATTAAAATTGGCATAATTGAAATTGAAAGAAAGTAAATGGCTGAATTGAAATAGTTGACAATGATCTAATCAATTGCCATTAAATTGAAATAAAGAAATTGATAGGAAAAAAATGACGTAGAGTCAATTGAAAACATTTTTAGTTGAAATGCATGTTTTGTGGTGGTGCTGGACAAATTGGAATAGGAATACAATACTTCTATTTATAGAAGTTCTATCTCAACTTATTTTCCTAAGTTATTGCTAGAAAATCTCTCCTTCTTTGATTCTTTTCTTCACAATTTGAACTCAGTCAAATCCTATTGTTATTCTGCTTCCTTTCTTGTTTTGTTTCAGTAGGAAATCTCTGTAAAAACAACCTTCCTCGATTTAATCACATGTAAGTTGCCGAGATATTGCTAAAATGTTGCTAGAAAGTTGCTGAAAAATTGCTAAGTTCTAGCAACTTCCTTTTATAAACTTGGCAGCCGTGTTCTATCCCAAGTGGCCCATCCTTTAGCGCCATGTCAAGGCCACTTGTCACAATTAGATTTGTTCACTTCATGCTGCCAACCTTCTATACATGTCTTCAAAGCTTTCCTTCTTTCATCAAACTAAACTTCCTATTTTATAGGAATTTAGTTATTGAGTTTCATCCAAACTCTAGCCTTTTCCTTTTCTATTAACAGCCCATTTTGAAAAAAGTCAAATGTGAGTCGCTATATTTCAGCAACTGCCATATCATTAGGTGGCTGAAATATATCTTTCTATATTTGCTCCTAATATCTTCAAACTGGCCGATCCATTCTTGGACATGCTCAACCCTTATCGGCTTCCCATTGGTCCACGTCGCTGCTGAAGTGGCTGCCAAGTTTTGGTGCCAACACATGCACAAGCTGTTGGCGTATCTAAAAGAGAATTTCATACTTATATAAAAAGGTAAAATGTGCCAAAGTTAACAATAAATCCGTTGTAGCACATTGGAAATTTTGAGTATATGAAATTCCGGGTTCAAACCCCGACAGTGGAAATTCTTTTTCTATAGTTTTCAACTTTATTTTATTTTATTCCAACAGCGGAAGTATAATTTTATTTACCGAAAAAAAATAAAAATTTAGTTGGCATATTTTAATCGTGTTCTTGGTAGGAGTAATGATCTTTAGTTGGCATATTTGATTCAATTTTTTGCAAATAATTTATTTATTTAAAAAAAAATTATAATAATGTTTGGATGATAATTTTGTAAAATTTGATTTACAAAAATTAGATTTTACTTAAAAAAATGTTACTTAGAGTGCTATCCTCAATGTCAAACAAAATAGTTTTTAATAATACTTTGACTATTTATGAAGTTTTAGAACTCTATTGTATTGGACAGCATTATATAGAGCAAGCAACATCAATTAGATTTTACTTCTTTTTTATAACCTAAAATTAGATTTTACTTAAAAAATGTTACTTAGAGTGCTATCCTCAATGTCAAACAAAATAGTTCTTAATAATACTTTGACTATTTATGAAGTTTTAGAACTCTATTGTATTG